AGCAAACACTAAAAATGTAAGTGTGGGAAGATTTTTTTATTTTCTTGTTATTGTTTGTTCTTTTGGTTTGTTCTTTTTAATCAGAACTTTAAATAAGAAATAACGAAAGAAAAAGAGAAAATAAAAAAGCTGTGCAGTGGTCTCTGGTTTACTGGAGAACTGTATAAAGCATTTTTGTGGATCAAAACCCTCTGATCTTCCCATCTGAAAATAGGGACAGGAAGAACAGGCACTCCCTTACTGAGCAGATGACTGGAACTGTGAACAGTGAACCGCAGCCAGCAGTTACCTGTAGGTCATGCTAGGAGACTTGAGCCCTGCGCTGCTGCTAGAAGTGCTTTGCATCCCCCTCCCTTTAGGGGACAAGAGATCATTTAATCACTGTGTAATCCTCTTTAGGTGAAGCTGAGTGATTTTCCTTGTAGCTGTCTCCCATGAGTAGATGGAGGTCTTTCACTCTTGGGATGGCTTGTATGCTCATCTCTGAGAGTCTGCCTCTTCCCTTGCCCTCTTTTATCCAGCCACATGCCCGCATTACTGCATGAAGTTTTGATGTATGGCCAAATCCATTATTGTTCCTGCTTTCATTTCTGTTCAAGCTATGTCAGCCTTTCCAGAAAGGCATAGTTTCCCCATCTGGTAATCAGCTGTGGGGATGCAATCGCAACTCCAGTTAACACTAACTCTTATTTGTGTTTAATATGAGACTTCTGAATAACATTTCAACCTCCAATGATTCAAGACAGATAGTATTTTTTGTTGTTTTGGTTGTATCAATGAGAGCTGGTGATGGGGGATCCCCTTATAAAAGGTCAGGCTTTAAGTGTAGTTTACTCCAACTTGTATATTTAATACATAAACATAGTCCTTAGATGTGCTGACAGTAGAATTGATTTAAAAAATAATAAATTGGCATGCGTCCACAAAATTCCAGTACGGAGTGTATTGTTCATCCTGAAACAAGTAAGAGTCGGAATCTGGGTTTGTGTTGAATTGGAAACACAGGAAAACTAAAAGTACAGGCTTTGAGGTGGTGAGGTGGTGTTCAGCTGGCTCCTTCTGAACAGCTGTAGCACCTCAGGCAAGCTGTCGTTTTAGTCCTGCAACCTGCTGTCATCCTCCAAGCAGAGGTGACTCCTGTGAGTGTGTTTCCCACTGCTAACTGCAGTGGGTGACCCAGCAAGGAGGGTGAAAGGCAGCATGGGCGAGAGTCCAAGAGGACAGGAACTCAACTAAAATTCCTGGGGGTCATTAATAATCTGGAGTAGGAGAGCCAACTAGTGTTGAATGTGGCAAAAACAAAACTTCCCTACTTGGGCTGACAAATGAAAAAATTCCCTTTCCTGGCCCAGAAATAGCTTTGAATTTTTTTTTTTCAGGTATTTTTTTTTAAGTTGAGAAACCAAAGCAAATGGATGGATGTTATGTAGAACATAAAGCAGCTGTTCCCAAACTGGAGCAAGTAGTGGAAAGATAAGACATAAATGCTGCTGGTGTTACAGTACACTTCAAGTAAACAAAGTGCCACGAAATTGCTGTGTGCTTTCTACTAATATTTAAATAGTAACAATGCCCCTTTGTATGCTGTACAAAGTCAGTCTGTGTCTGTCCTATAGTGCTTACAGATAGACAGATAAATTGGTGTTGGTGAATATTTTTGCTTTGTGTTTTAATAGGATGAGATGACTGTTCCTGCACTGGAGCTCTAGCACCTTAGCATGCCTGCTGTCCACAGACTCCATGTGGAGTCCTCTCATGCTCCTTTTGCAGCCTTTCACAACAAGGACCAATTCCAGCAGGTCTGATGAGGAACGTGAGTTAGAGTCTTGATTGTTAAAGGCTTTTTCCATTTTAGCAATTAAGCTGTAAATTCTTAAAATTCTAAACTTCATCCATGCTTCCTTGTTTTGGGGGACATAGTAGAAAATCATAGTTTCAGCTCTCTCTGAGGACCTGAAGAAATCTTTTCTGGGACCAAATTGTTACCCAGCGGTACCTGAAGTCCAGAGACTGGACCATAACAGAAGAGCTAAAAGATACGGAGTAACTGAGTATTTTTTTGCTGGGCAAGGCTCTGTCCTTTGCTAAAAAGCTACCAAATAAAAGGCAAGCACACAGTTCCTGAAATGCTGTCAGTCTTGCGGCTCTCAATGCTTGTTCTCTGTTTGAATTTCCAGCCATGGTAGAATTCTGCCACTGTGGACTGGTGCCCTGAGGTGTAAAAGGGAAGGCCTTGAGAGACCCCAGAAATAGTACAGGCAGAACTTATACCCAGTGGTTTCTGCAGGACATGGCACTGTGGTCTAAAATGGGTTGCTGTATGTTTGAGATCCTCTGTTAAAGTGGCAGCTGGCAGCGTCATGGCCTTGTTTTTGTCTGTGTTTCAAGCCTTGAGGGGGGCCACAGAAGCCGATAGACCTGTCAGCGTTCAATAAACAGTAACTGCTTTTGTGCATGTTCTTAAATCAAGCCAAGTCATTTAAACCTGCACTTTTTACTTTTAGCAAGTGAAAAACTGCATGTTAACTGATAACAAGTACTGGTAGATTTGTACACAGGGCTGGGTTGGGGTTTTTTTTCTGTTAGGATGTTTAGAGTTCTTTCTTTGTGTCTGCCTTGGATTGGGAAAGTATCAAAGAAAGGGAGTTCATTAAGTCCTTCTTGGTGTGTTGTAAGATGTATCATCAGTTTAGGTGAAGAGGTTTGAAGGGGGGGGTGCGTGTTTGATTTTGGTTTTAAGACTTCAAGGTCACCTAAGTAACAACGTTTTGGCTCTTTGATTAGAGCCGAAACATCTTCAAAATGGGCAAAGAGCTTAACTGAAAGCAAAGCACTCGGTTATATGCTTTCCAGCATGAATTTTCAGAATATAACCTTGCAAGTGATAATGAACTACATTTGGCACTTTTGTTAGCAAAGGAGTTTAACAGCTTAACCAACTCTATTTAAAAAAATAAAACAAAACCAACAACTTTCTGATCCTACATGCACAAATCGTCATGGCTAAGGTACCTTCTCTCTTCACATCAAACTTGTAGTCTCGACATTAATTTTATAGAAAAAATATTTTGGAAATAATTTTTTATTGTAGTGAAAATAAGATACCATCATGTTCGTATGTATACACACACACACACACAAAGAAAAGATTCACTGTATATACACTGAAATACCTCATACTCAGTGCAACCAAGACTCTCCTCAGCTTGTGCGCAGCAATACCAGAGTACCTTTAAAACATGCCTGATCCCAACTACCATCCACTGTTGCACTTAGCAGGAGCAGCACTGAAGCTATCTCCCAGGGGTGGCAGCCCAGCTCACAGAAACAAGTCACAAGTTGATGCCTCCCCTGAGCCCAGTGCTTCTCCACATTGTACAGTTACCATGATCACAGGCCCTGGTGTTACAGAACGCTCAGCCGTGCTGCTGCAGAGGCAGGAGAGTGGGCTGTGCCTCAGAAACTCCAGACCAGCTGCTCCGAGAGGCCTTGGGTCACCCAGCAGAACGGGGCCTCTGTCTCATAACATCTGGTCACAACAATGTTCAGCAGCACCATATTACTTCCTGCTGGCTTGCGTTATTTGGGCTTACAGTGGTTTATGTAAGCATTTCTTTGACAGATGTGTGGCTCTGATACCCATTCCCTGCCACTCAAGGCCAGAAAATACTATGCAAGTGATGCAGTGAGGTTCTCCAGAAGACGTAGAATTGCATTGAAATATTCACTTGTTTAGCTAAGCCGCCTATCAACAAGTCAGTAACTCTTGCTATCGCTTAACTTTAAAAAGTATCAGGTGGCTGTTGGCACATGTGGGCCAAGAACTACAGACTTTGTAGAAATAACAAATAACTTGGCCTTGTTTGCTAGCAGAAGCTAATGTGAGACTATTAGTGCCCTAACACTGACAGCCTTAAACAAGAGACACTGTGTGACTGAACAGAGCCCCAACACACCTTAACATGTAGTCAGAACTCTCTTCATAACTTGAAGATAAAACTCCGTTTCTGTACCTCAGAGGTCCCCATCTCAATTCAGCTATTGTACAGTGCTTCAGGCTGACTTTTTCTGTTTAAGGAATTCTACACTGACTTCCACTACGCCAAGAATAATCTCATTTTTTCCCTTCCCTATAGGAAATGCTGCCATCTACCAAATATGCATGCACTTAAGTACCACAGCCTGATTTTGAAACAGAGCTCATGGCACGCTATTGCCCAGTTCAGTAAAGAAAATTCAAATATTAGTTGGCTGAATTCAACATTGAGTAAACACTAAATATATTTTTAAAAAGGATGGGCACAAATACCACTGTAGTATTTCATCATTAAACTATTCATCGTTCTAGTTCAACAATTAAATCCATTATGAAGATAAGCTAGCAGGGAAATGCACAACAAATAAATAATGCGTATTAACTTATAAAATATCAAACAAATCGTCTACATACCAAAAAAGTCAATGTTAGTCACTTAAGCTTCACAGAACGTTTGTATGACAGAATCCCTTCTGTGCCCCAGCCTGTGTGTTTGCCAGGAACAGCTGGAGGACCAACCACCTTGGCTTTAAAAACACTGTACTGTAGAAGTACAGCCCTGCCTTGGCTGAGGCGCCCCATGGGGTCACTGACAGGCAGTGGTGACACTTCTTGTGGGGAGAGCCTTTAGAAGGCCTGCAGGCTCGGTACTATATTGTGTTTTGCTAATGCCAAGTGACAAAATGTACATCAGGCATCTGTACAAAAGAGCAATTCTTCCAGTGAGGTTATGTTTGTGTTTATAATGGGAATGCTTTAAGATAACGCTAACATAATTCTAGCACAATAGTTCTCCCCTACAAATCATTCGCGTGCAAACCAAATATTTCTTTCCACTAGTGTTTTATACCTGTGAAATCGCTACAGTAGCCTCCAGTGAGGGGATAAATGCCAGACAGCGATTTTAAATGTGCATTTTATTTCGGCTGTGCATGTATCTTCTCTTACCTGAGGAGATTGTTTGCCTTGGTATACAAACTTTCACTGTCCGTTTCAGAGTTAAAGAAAAATGAACTTTCATAACCTCTGTCACTTCTGATCACCTCTTAAAAATGTCACTTTACACAGAAAAGCCAGAAGTAATTGAGATAAACAGACATCTGTACATTTTAGCCATTCATTTAGAAAACATCTGTATCCATCCATGCAATGTTAAGACTATAAGTAACTTTGCAGTTACATCTGAGCCCATTGCTATGGCAACAAGGTAGTCTTTATCTCCCACATGCATTCTACTGATTTCTTTTTTTCTTAAAGCAGCTTCCTGAAATGAAAAACAGAGAAGCAACGATTAAGTTAGTCTCTTTCAAACATTGGATTCAAGCCTTATATGAGGCAGCCCTTACTACTTTCCAGCTGTGGAAAATTTAGATGCTGATCCTTTTCAAGATGAAAAAATGAACAACTGACATGGAAAAATGTGAACTGCTGTTATTTTCAATTAAAAAAAAAAGCATAGTTGATGATCTTGGAACACAAGATTTTTGCTACTGTAGCTATTTTTAATAGGGTCCCAAGGAATTGTACTACAGTATCTTTCAAACTAACCCAGCTAGCTGTAATTTGCTGCTTGCTGCTGTGAGAGTACAGTTCATAAGAGTGTGTATGCTAATAATTAATTCCTTGATGGCCTTTTTCATGGTTACCTTTCATCAAAACATACAGCTCAGCTTGGTTAATTGTTTAGAATTGTCAGCTTTCTGTTATGGTAGGTGCTCACCGTACCAGACAGGATCGTACCAGTGAGCTGCTAGTTTTTAGTTAGTTGCCAAGTCTTGAGCACTCAAGATAAACTAACATGCTTTCAAAATTTCTATTTTAAATAGAACACTAGGCAATAGTAACTACACTAGAAGAGTTAAGAAGGTTCTATCTGTGCTTTCAGGGACTTAAATTGATGTCGGTGCTTCTCTGACACCCATTAACTTTGGGATTCCTCTTCACTGCTTTTAACATACCTTCTGGGGCTATCTACTTTTGACACTGATTATTTTCAGTACTTTAAAAGGGTTGAACCTCTTCAGAAATAATGTTGAAATGTTAACCGCTAGTGTCCCAGCATTTCTAGACCCTTTATATGAAAAATACAGTACTGTAGTAAAGGCCACATGAGAAAACATCAAAGAAGTTACCCAGCAAGACATTTCACTCACATTTGATGCTGCCTAACAAACTCAGCAAATTGACGGTCTTTAGCGTAGAGTTCTATAATTCGAATTCTGTCCTGAATTTCCTAGAATACAAGAAACACAATTGTAAGAACATAATAGAAATTAGAATACTATTGAAATAACTGATTTCTGTTTTTTGGAAAATAAAGCTCCAATGCTTTGCTATTTCAAGGAGTTGAGCTTGAAATTGGGCAGTCCAATACTAAAATTCTTCTTTACGCTGGATACTGTGTATAGAGCAAGAAAGGAGAAGGATGTGATCTAACTTACAGGTTATAGAAAGACCTAAACTTTAAAAAAAAAAACAAAACCCCACCCCACCCCAAACCCTGTGAAAAGGCCTGGATGCACCAGGTTTTCACTGTATAACCACTCTTACATAAGGTAGTTGGCATTAAAAGCTAAAGGTTGTATCGAGCAATACAGCAAACCTCCCCAGCTCCTGCAAAGTTACTTAAGCAGTCAGCTCCTTTATCATGTGAAATCCATTACAGGTCAGAACACACCCATTCCTTTCTCTATACCTGATAGCAAGCAGGGAAAGAAATCCTTTCTCTCTTCTCTTAAATAGGTGCAGCAGCCATAGTTGCAACTTGTTTATCTAGAGCATAGACACTGGGGAAAGATTGGGCCCACCTCTCAGGTTAAAAGTGTGGAATAAGCTTATTGTTTACATGATCTTTTCCATGCCACTATGAAAACAAGGTCATTTACCTCCTTAGTAAGCTCACTGTTTTCGTAAATGTGCCTGATCTCTTCACTGCTGTAGTCTGTGGATGTCTCTGCACTGGTAGAACTGTAGGACGTTAGCTGAGGGTATCTCCGGTAATAATGGCTGTAGCCAGTCGTATCACTTTCATACATGGGGTTGTATTTAACCGCATTCTCAATGGACGAGAGGCTGTCACCCTGCCTGGGGGAGCAATAAACACACTGTGAGCTTCTCTGCAGCCTGGAAGGGGAGCAGATAGATTAAGGAAGCCTGGCATTTGGAGGTGCCTATACATCCTGTTGCTTGTCAACTGTGTGATACGAGATTTAAGACAGAATTATCCTTATTGTAGCACATGTGTTTTAAAATATTAGATGGTGTCACTTACCCCTGCGAGTCCTCGGTGTCACTCTTTGTGTACTGGTCTCGAAGGGTCCTGGCCAAGAAGAAGATGACAGCAGATGCCACAAGAAGGAATCCTGCCACAGAAGCAATTGCTATACCCACAACCAGTGGCTCAGACACGTATTCTTCACAGTGCTCCCCTCTGTACCACCAGTTCTCTCCCACACGACACCTGCAACAAAGAAACAGTGGGAAATTAAGCACCAGCAAAAGCTTTGATTAATGGAAATGTATTTAGCTTCCTGTTATGATGTGCCCTCAGTTAAGTCAACCTCAATAAATACCTTTGCAAGTTCAAGCACCAGCTTTCTTTTATTATTATTATTATTGTGAACAGCCTTTTTGGTATAGAATCGTAGGATGGTTTGGGTTGGAAGGGACCTTTAAAGGTCACCTAGTCCAACCCCCCTGCCATGGGCAGGGACATCTTCAACTAGGTCAGGTTGATCAGAGCCCGTCCAACCTGACCTTGAATGTTTCCAGGGATGGGGCATCTACCACCTCTCTGGGCAACCTGTGCCAGTGTTTCACCACCCTCATTGTAAAAAATTTCTTCCTTATATCTAGTCTAAATCTACCCTCTTTTAGTTTAAAACCATTCCCCCTTGTCCTGTCGCAACAGGCCCTGCTAAAAAGTCTGTCCCCGTCTTTCTAATAAGCCCCCTTTAAGTATTGAAACGCCGCAGTTAGGTCTCGCTGGAACCTTCTCTTTTCCAGGCTGAACAACCCCAGTTACTGAATTGAGTGAAGATAGGTAAAATAATAAAAGAATAATGCATTTGTGATGAAAAAGCCTGTGGTTTTTGCAGTTTGGAGTATCCTGTGATGTGTTAAAACTTGAAGGTGTTTAGACTAAGTAAAAAATTATGCCTTGATTGAACCTTGCACATGACATATCAAACACTGTACAGGTAGAAAGCAGTTGTATTAATCATATTGTAATGTAAATACAGATGAAGGTGTGTTAAACAAGCAGAAAATAGTTGTCCAAAGTGTAGTGAACTCCACAATGGTTAGTTAAATAAATGCATAAAATAAATTACTAGAAAGAGGTGTGTGTCCAAGTTGTATGTTTGGAACAGTTGCCCAAAACAGCATTCAGTATTTCTGCCTTGCTGTGGTTTTGAACATGAGAACTTTAATGTTAATACTGACTTTAAATATACCAGTAAAAATAACATATTTGCATTATGTGTGTTTGGGAGTTCTTGCCATAAAAACTCAAGGAATTGTAACCACTTAAAGCAATGAACCTTATTAATAAGAAACATCAGTAAATTAAGTCTTCTAAGATAAATATCTGAAATAGTTTCTGAAAGTAGTAAGCAATACTTCAAATCTTTCAAAAAGTTCCTAATAAATACTGGCCAGAGCATGCTTGAGTTCAGATACTTACCTGTTTCTAATTAACACTATTATACAAATATGATAAAATTTATACTACATCTGTGATAGTATCCATCTTTGTAGCTTTAAAACCATTTTTATTTCTCCTGGTAACTGCTAGGACTTTTAAGACTGACTTTAGAGATGTTTCTAGGTAAGCTTTTTTAAAAAAAAAATCACCTGAAGTAACATAAATAGTAACTACTAGTTACTTTTTTGCAAGAAGTCTCCTACCTTTTGTTGATAGGTATATTTTGTTTTTAAAAATAGAATGTTACATTGCTTGAAAAGGGAAAAATTAAGTGCAATGTCAGAGGGAGCATCGATTTGTCTGTATCTTGTACTAAGCCTTTTCCATTACCTGTAAAATACAGAGATCCTGTTCAAATGCATCTGTATCTTTTTAAAAGCAAAAATTTGAACAAGGGGGCCTGTGCCTTGATCTTTTTATGAACCACACATGATTTTTCCCAAATGGCCAATGACTTTTTCTTATCCAAGAGCACTATTTTTAATATATTTATGCTATATGAATATGCTTTTCAGATACGAATTTTTGTGATGGAATTAACTCTTATATGCTTTATGACATTATCTAACACTTTGCGACTTGAGAAAACCTCTGGAGATAAATTCTGTCCCCAAATCAATGAAGGTGATTTGAACAATTGAGTATGTTCCATTACTACCATTTTTCCTAGTTAGTTTTACTTTCTGATGTTTCTGTTCTATTAAAGACATTTGTTACTGTCCCATTTCCAATATATACATAGGAAAAGAACGTTAATATTGGGATCTCCATTCAGCAGCATAACGTGAATGATAATCATTATCATCTCCCTTGTTACACATTATCTTACGGAATTTTGCACAAATCTTGTAGAATGCTACAACAGAGGAGACAATAAGGGGTTTTCATACAGGAGGCACATACTTCAAACAGCAGGACGACCTACCTACAGATGGCCCCTTGCCCAGGGCTTATGTCGCACTTCCCATCATTCAGGCAAAAGTTTGGTTGCAGATCACAAATGCTATTGCATGGCAGGCCGTCGATGCTTAGGTATCCAGGATTGCAGACACACTCAGCTTCCCCACTCCAGCGATTTACTAAGCATTCGGAGAACTCATTGCAGGCCTGGAACTTGCAGGGATCTGCTTGCTCACCTGAGAATATAAAAAGCAGAAAATATTAATGGTAGAGGAGAACCTTAACTGAGGCAAAGCGCTGGCTGTCTGCTGCCATTTTCTCTAATGGTCTTTTAGTTAAAATAATCCACAAAAATCCAGCATGCGTCTTTCCCGAGTAACAAAAGGTTCTGCTAAGGTGAACAAGTGCTAGGAAGTGTTCCTCTGTCTGCACAGTGCACGTCAGTGGTATGGCTAAGACCACCCAACAAGCCAATCGAAAAAGCAAGTATAGACTGTTCTCTTCCTTACTGGAACGTGCAGTACCTCAGATGTTCTCTTGTCTGCTGGAACTATATTTTGCAAATGAGTAAAACACAGCTGATCTCCAGTATTTCTCGTTATAGAAAATCTAGGCAGCATACAGGGAAGGGCAAGGGGACTTCAGGCACTCAACACCTACCATGAGGTGATTTGCCTTTGTCTGCAAGGAACACAAGCTTGTAGCATTTGAAATACCTCGCTTGTATCAAGCTTAAGAGGGCTGGCATACAGTTAGATGATCAATATCAGAAGATTTGTCATGCCAATTAGGCCACCTTTATAAAAGAGTTACCTCAGAAGAAAGCTACCATTTGCCAATAGGTCAGCGCTGTTATTTTTCTCTAATCTTAAAACAGTAAATATTTCTGAGTTTTTCCATGGTAAACTACTGGCTAACTTGGACAGGGAAAGAACTTTCTCCCTATATCAGAGGAGCGAACTAAGAGGGCCTGCAACTTTTTAGTGCAACCAAGACCTTACCACAAGAGCAAGGCAGCAGCTGTTACCTGTGCAGATGCCTACCTGGCAGCTAAACTGGCTACCACCTGTGGCAATGATCACATGCACCACTGTTCTCGCTGACCAGCCTTCCCTCTCACTCCCCAGTGAAAGTGCAGTGGCATTATCTAGAGTATTACATGAGCCGGTTTTGTCCCCATATTTTTGTCCCCATTTGTCCCCCATATTTGGGCCCTATATAGTTTGCTCAGTCTGGGTCCCACTTTGATTTTTGTCTCTTTAGTCCCTTAACAGATTTTTATTTGTCTGTGTGTTTGTTTGTTTGAACTCTGTGAAAGACTGTCTTTCTGAAGCCCAGCCTGTGAAAAGCAGTGGGCAGTCTCTGAGCCGCTGGGATCCTTAGTAAGTTCTTAAAGCAGAAGTTGCTCTAAATCCCTTGCTCTGAACTGCATTTCCCTGCTGTCCTTACCCGATTCCACATCTAAGGAGTATTTATCGATGGCCAGGTTCATGGTGTGATACGCGGTGTTGCAGAAGTCTTCCAGGATCATGTACACAGCGTTGGTGACGTTCCGAGGCACAGGTTTGGCAAATTTCATTCGACTGTTCACCACGATGCTGCCATTTCTGAAGTTCAGGATTTCCAGATTCTGGAAGCCCGTCAGATTTGACTGAAGGTAGGGCACCAGCTGCAACACGGGGGACATGACAGAAAAGCTGAATCTTTGAATCTCTACTCAAGCCAGTTGCACTGTTATTGCATCAAACAGCGTAAATCTGAATTATTTTATCCAAATCCCATAGCAAGAGTATTAAAACTTTACCCAGCTGAGGCCCATGCTGGCAGCCTGCCAGGAGCCCGAGCACTGCAGACAGTTCCTAAGCGTATACCAATTTGCAGATAGTTTACAAAAATCTACAATTCAGAAATACAGTTCTCGGGACATAAGCAGTACTCTCCCTTGATCTAAGCACCGGCATACTCATCGTTTCACAGGGTATTTCCTTCAGGCATGTCCCCCTTCCCTCTCTCTCCTTGCTCCCTTCATCTGCCACAACAAAATGTTCATTTCAGTCAGGAGAAGGGAATTTCCCAGTTAAAATTTAGACAATTGTTGCTGTATAACTCCTGTGAGGCTTTGCTGGCCATCAGTCAGTTCAGGAACAGCTTACCTCTTCGGATAGGTTGAAAGCGTTGCAGAAAAGTTACCTCCCCACAGCCCCAAGTTATTTACTTCTCTCTCCCTATAGACTAAATACAAAGCACTCTGGAAGCAAGTAAGAGGAGTGTCGTAGTGATGCCAGCTACACCACTACATTTATTGACACCAGCAGAGCATCTGGCCCATAGTGCTAAAAAGTGACGCTTTAGAGAGACTACCGACTGAATAAAAGACAAACAACACACCCCACCCCTGTTTCCAGACAGAACTTGCCCATGGAGGGCCACAAATAGTATCTGTAAACACCAGTCTTGAGTTGCTCTCTGCAAAAGAGAGCCGACAATTATTTACAAACAATTTTTGTCTATCTGGTAAGGGACATTTAGCATAGAAGTGATTCTTACTAGTTCCAAGAATCGCTGCTCCAATGCTTTGTATTCAGGGGAGTTTTTATTAAACAGGTCCTCTGAAAACATCATGTTGGTAACCCGAAGACTGAAAAACACAACTAGAGCTCGTGATGAGACAGGAGTACTATTGTGATTTTCATGTGTGGCCCAAGCCACACTGGCCATCTCTGTGGATTGGACATGAGTTGTTAGCTCCACGTGACTTTCAGTCATGCTCCTTCCCTCCTCAGTCAGCTCAGGAGAAAGGCGGACAGTGCTCATACGATCCAGGTCTACTGAAACATCCAGGACTCTCGTCGTTTCATCTCCCAGCTTTGTTGAGGTAGCCACAGACGATGACGCCGTAGATCCCACAGGAGGGAGATGGGACGGAAGCTCAACAGTGCTTGTTGTTACACTCACTGTTAGATAAGAGTTCCTAACAGTGCTGAAGCTCATGGAAACATGCATGTCGTGGTCTGTACCACCCTGCACAGCAAAGCCCTCTAGAACAGTGGTCTGATCTATTACAGAAGGAACTACAGTTGAAACTTGAGTGGTAGTCAGCATTCCTGATTGCACTGTCTGATCTGATGAGTTTTCTAGTGCTCTGTCAGTAGGCCAAACATCAGCTGGTTTCTCCATTGGTGATCCAGTAGTGCCTTGGCCTGCCAATGATGAATCTAGGGTTTGCTGCTCTTCTGTGGAAGCATCAGGATTTACCATGGAAGGATCTGCAGTCAGAATAGTTTCTGAATAGCTTGTGTCCAAGTGGCCTATTGTAGCAGCTTCAGTTACATCTGAGTGCCCCACTGTGAACAGTTCTTCTACTGTTGTCCTGTCTTCATTTTGGTGTTCCATTGCTTCAGAAATGGTGTTCTGACCTACACTGGACTCTTCAGGTTGTTCCATACTGATGGTCCCTGTAGATGTAAGGAGACTATCTTCCACAGACAGATCTGTATTGTGCGGTGAGATAGGGGCCTCTCCAGTTGGCATGTCTACAAAGGAATGGTCCACTGAAGGCTCCAAAACCAAGGATGGTTTAAAAAAAGAAGAATCATACACGCCCGGTGTTTTTGTCTGTGTAGATGGTTCCACAGATGATGGCTCTTCTGTCTGTAACAGAGGTACCTGCTGAGTTGTAGTCTCTGGAAAGAAAAGTATTTCAGACTCATCAAGGAAATCTTCTTTTGTATTGGCCGTATCTGCATTCTCATCTTTGGAAGGATCATCATCTAATTTATTCCCAGAGTTAAGAATATAGTCTAAGATCATGCCTTCAGGGATATCCTCAGTTCTTATTATCAAAGACTCATTGTCATCTTCAAGCCAGCTATCGGGACCAGGGTAGAAAATTGGTTCCAGTGTTGCTTCTTCCCAAGGCCAAATACTTGATTCCATTTCTTTTCCTGAACCATCAAAAGCTGAACCAGAGCCATCATCATATATAACTCTATCTCCAAGATATATATCAGTTTCATCTTCCATAGGGTGTACTTCTAAGGGAAAATGAGTTTCTTCCACAGACTCATGCAAGACAGAGTCTGCATTGTTACTGCCTGCAGGACTACCTTGAGTTACTTCTTCCTTCTCAGCAGATAATGTTTCTTTAGTATCAGTCTCTATGACTGATGAAAAGGCCACTGTTGGTGCAGAAAGCAGAGGAACTGCATAATCATCTGTTGATGGAGGTTCTTCAGGCACGAGGTGAGGAGGAGGACTTGAAGGCAAAAAAAGGTCTTCGAGTAGTCCAGTATCTTCAAACACTAAAAATAAAAATACATTTCCAATTAGAATCACAGAATCATTTAGGTTG